CTCCCAACCAACCAACCGACCAACCAGAGGCTGGTAAGGTGGCTCAGTGGGCGAGGGGGTCTTGCTCCCACGCCTCACAAGCTGTGTGTGACCCCCAGGCCCTACCCGGTGACAGCAGAGAGCTGACTCCCCGTGCTAGCTCCGGCCTGTGTGCACAGGAGCACACAAAAAAGTAAACGAATCAGTGCACGCAAATCCACAAGCGAAAAAGAACGCAGGCCGCTCAGCGCAGAACGGTTTAACTGTATCGAAGAGGGAGCTGAATTGAACAAATGACGCCCCGCCGTGCAGTGAGGGGTAACGGGCGGCTCTGACCAGGCTGTGACCAGACCAGTGGCTGGGCGTGGCGGTGCACGTCTTCCACCTCCGCACTCCACTCAGGAGGATCTTTGCGCCTGAAACCAGCTCGATCTACACAGCAAATTCCAGGCCAGGAAAAGCTGTACAGTGAGACCCTGTCTCAAAAATAAAGCAACCGAACAATGAGGTACCAAATTATAGAAAGAAAAAAAAAAAAATCTGTATCTGTAGCCATAAAAAAAAAGGTCAACAAATAATTCTCTCTGGGCAATTTTTTTCTATTCTCCCCAACCTGTGCAGAATCAACACGGGATTTTTTTTTCTTTCTTTTTCATTTCCACGTGTGTACGTATGTTCGCCTGTGTGTAGGTACACGTGTGTGCGAGGGCGCTCGCATACACGCCTGAGTGTGTAGGGGCTGGAGGAGGGGTTAACTCGGGCGCCCTCCTTGTTGACTCTCCATCTTTTTCTACAGGCAGAACCCATGTGGCGTGAACTGTGGTTCGCTCCTCTGTGCAGCGAGTGCCTGAGCCGCCTCCCAAGGGCTACCATGGGCCAACGCGCAGTCACATGGGCGTATATATTTAAGCAGCAGAGACGGTGTTTTTGTTTTTTATTTTGTTTTGATTTGACTAGAGCAATTACTCCCGAGACTAGGAAATTACACACCGCGCTCTAAGGGAGGATGCTTGAGCCTGTTCAAGCACTGACGGGCCCTTCTCCTAGCCTTCAGCCGGAGGCAGCTGAGGGTCTGAGGACTCAAACCCCACCCCCACTTCACCCATGGCACCTCCAACCTCTCCCATTCCCTCCAATGGCTTCTTCCTTCCAAAGTCTGCAGCAACGAGAAACACCAACCCTCAAGTCTCCTGTGAGTTCAAGGCCAGCCTGGTCTACAGAGCATGTTCCAAGATAGCCAGGGGCTACACAGAGAAACCCTGTCTTGAACCCTGTCCCCACCTCCATCAAAAAAAGGAAAGAACTCCAGCCCCTCCTTCCAACATCTTCCCTTCCTCCCTTCCTCCCCCTCTCTCCCACCCTCCCTCTCTCTCCCCTTTGGCTTTTGCACAGCCTCCTGCCTCCCAGGGAGCTAGTTACAAGATTTAGCGTGTACCTGCTTTTCCACACGGGCATGTAATGAAACACCCATGGATTTTCCTTCAGGATCAAGAACATCAGGAAGCATGTGTGGAAAAAAGACGCAGCGCGTCTGCCAGGGTGGGGAGGCTGGGATCGCTGGCTGGCATTACACTAAATAATGACAAGTCCCGGGGACAGAGGGCAGACACTCACTTGCTGACTTGAAATGGATGAACTCCTAATTAGTCTGGAGAGGATTCATAGGTGTGCTGGGGAGCAGGAGGGGGGGGGACCCCAGGACGCTGCAGCCTGATGCTCGGGGCCTCCTGACCGGGCAGGATGCCAAGGATGAGGCAGGTCTCTGCTCCCCATTGGTCACCTGGGTGGCTGGTACTGATCATGGTGACTAAGCAGCCTGCAATGCCAGGAAGATCCGGGGCTTTCTGCTGCACCCACTACTGGAACCCATCGCTCTGGATCCAGTTCCAACTCTCTCTCTCTCTCTCTTTTAAAGATTTATTTACTTATTCCATATACAGTGTTCTGCCTACATGCCAGAAGAGGGCATAAGATCTCATTATAGATGGTTGTAAGCCACCATGTGGTTGCTGGGAATTGAACTCAGGATCTCCAGAAGAGCAGCCAGTGCTGTTAACCTCTGAGCCATCTCTCCGGCCCTGGTTCCAACTCTCAAAGCCAGTTTTTCCGCTGACGGCTACAAGCCTGCAGAGCCCGCAGGGCGACCATTCCAAGTCACTGAGAAATTGTCCCTCGCCTGTTTTTGGTTGAGGAAGGCTCTCACTATTTAGCCCAGGCTGGCCTGCAACTCAGAGATCCACCTGCCTCTGCCTCTGAGGAGCTGGGATTAAAGGCATGTGCTGCCAGCCACACAGGGACTTAATTTTTTATTTTTATTTTTTGAGACCGAGTTTAGCCTGGGCAAGGTCCTGGGTTCAACCTGCAGCATAGGTTGTATTTGTGAACAAGAGAGCCTCAGAAAGGTTTCAGACCATGAAGGAATGTGTCCGTATCCTCACAGGGTCTGGGAAAATGTGGTTGAGTCTGGGCAGCTGACACCCTGTCAACCTAAGGACCTTGACTGTCTTTGCATCAAATCTGACTGTAGGAACCTTCTTGGCATTAATATTCCAGATGAGCAAGGCTTTTCTCCTACCTACTAAAGTGAGCCTGTGACAGGCATCCATGCCGTCCTTTGCTGTCCTGGCCACCCACGCAGGCTCCCGGGCTGAAGGCAGACCCACTCCAGACCCCGCCCTCTCCCTTTGATCCTCCCACTGAAAGCCTGAGTTGCAAAGCTGCTCACATGTAATTATTTTAATTCAGCCAGATGCTGAGAATTAGTCTCTTTTCCTTGCAAGGATTCTAGGGAAAGAGAGAATTCAGCCAAAGATGTGCCAGAAGAAAAAGGGAGCTGACAGCCTCTGGAGGGAGGGAGGGAGAGAGGAAGGCCCCAACCCTCCCACCCCCCAAGTGTGGGCAAAGCCTCCAGTGAGAAACTGCTGTGTCCAAGGATGAAAAAGGAGAGGGGGAGGATGGGGAGGTGGGGAGGAAGAGGAAGGGAGGCAGGAGGGGTCTAAGGTGGTAAAGGAAGATGTTTACAAGCTTCCAGGGAACCAACAGCAGCCTAGGCCCCCACGCTTCGAGTCTGCACAGCGGCCCCACTGATGTTATTTAAAGAAGCACTGAGAAGGAGGAGGTCAGGGCTGGGCTGAGAGCGCAGGGGACGTGAAGCCGCACCACCCTGAAATTCCCACACAGCCTCCCTCCTAACTGCTGTCAGGCGGCAGCCATCCTCACCACCATCACCCTCACCATCACTTAACCAACCGTCCCATGGCAAGGGAACCCTGAGGCTCTGGGCTTAGAAGCTAGAAGGCGGTGTTTGGGTCCCCCAGGCCCGGAGTTAGTGTGGGTGCTGAGAATCAAGCCCGGGTCTTCCGCAAGAGTGGCCAGTGTTCCAAACTACGTCATCTCTCCACCCCGCCCCCGCCATGTCCATCCCTGCTCATTGGTTTTTTTAAGATGGGGTCCCTCTACATATCCAGGCCTAGAATTCACAGAGATCCTCCTGCCTCTGCCTCCCAAGTTACGGGGATCAGATGCATTTGCCAACATGCCTGCCTACCAAGCCGCTTCTGAGTGGGTTCCACTGTCACTATTCTAGAAGGAGCTAACACACGGTTACATTTGCTCTGCCGTAGTCTGTGGATGATGGTGGATACAGGGCTGCTCAGATTCTGGGCGGCCAGGGAGTCTGGTTTCTCTTTCTCCTTCCGACAGCCCCAGGCGAATCCCGGGTGCCTGGGCTTGGGCTGTCACTTAGCCCTCCCCCACCCCAAATCCTGCCTCAGAGGGGTTCCTCGATGACCTCAGGGATGCCTGGCTGGGGTGGCCTGGGGGCTGAGCTGGGGTAGAGCCCAGTTTTGCTTCCTGTTGTTCCAGAGAGAGGATGCAGTTTCTGGTAAAATGGGAATCTTTCTCGAGTCGTTCCCCCATGCATCGTCCATAAGGCTGGTCTGCGGCCATTCTGTGAGGCATTTTTATTTTATTTTTTAAGATTTATTTCTTTCGTATTTAACTGTATGGGTGTGTGCACATGCCTGTCGGTACTGTGAAGGCCACACACATGCCGGATCCCCTCGGAGCTGGAGTTCCAGGCAGCTGGGAATGGCCGGACATGGGTGCTGGGGAACTGAGCTTAGACTCAGTGCAAGGAAAGCACACATTTTAAAGCACTGAGTCTTGACAGTTAATTGGAGTGGGAGGGCACGCCCCACTGTGGGTGGTGTCATCCCTACGCAGGTGACCAGGTCTTTGATCTACAAGAAATCTAGTTGATCCTGACCCTAAGAGCAAGCCAGGAAGCAGCGCTCTTCCACGGTTTCTGCTTCAAGCACTTGCCTGGGCTCCCCGCTCTGACTTCCCTCCACGCAGGACTGTTCCCCAGGACTATATGCTAAAATAAACCCTTCCCTCCCGAGCGGCTTTGGTCATGGCGGTCATGGCGGTCATGGCAGCAGCCCAGCGCAACCCAGAACGGTGCCGATCACTGACAAATGGCTCCCTTTATCCCTACAGCATCTTTGCAACATCAGAACCCTGACCCCGTTCTCGAGTGGTAAGCCACCCCCGGGACCTGCTTCTCCACAGTCCTACACAAGAGTCAAAGCCAAACGGTGCCTGGGATTGCAGACTCTCGGCTTCCCAACAGCCACACCCTCCCCTATTTCATATTCATACCTACCCACACTCCCATCCACGCATGCACACGAACTCACGCTTGTGCCCACACACAGACACATGTAGCCCCCTCCGCTCCGCCGAGGGTGTCACCCCTATGCCAACCGAAGAGTGACAACCCAAGCCGGGACAGGCTGTGGTCATCGCTGCCGGTGCCCTGGCAGTCGGGGCTGAGGGACTTGTGACAGGGCTCAAAGGAGCCTGGCTCTGTGCTCCCCAGGCCGCCCCTCCCTGCTCAACCATAAGGATGGACTCTTCAAGCTCCAGCGTCACGGCGTCATGCCAGCCGGATCACGAGGCGCCCTGTCTCCCCGGGGCTCCCTCCGGGAACGGGCCGTCCTGGGTCACGGACCACTTACCCTGCAGTTGCTCAGCTCCTCTGCGGACAGAATGATGGTGCCGCACTTCTTCCCAGGGACGCCGCTGGAGGAAACGAGGCAAAACAAACACACAAACCCAAAATGACAAGCCAGACCGGGACAGACCAACCCAACACTCCTGGGCCGGCCAGCCCGTGCCCGCCCCGTGCCGTCCGGGCAGCTGACCCCAACACCCCTGAGATAGAAAGTGTCCGGAAGTGCCTGGGCAGTGTGGCCAGGCGCTGCGGCCTGGGTGGCCCTCAGCCTGGGTGGCCCTCGGCCTGGGTGGCCCTCAGCCTGGGTGGCCCACCCCCTGCTCCCGAGGCCCACCGGGGAGGTCTTGAACTGGCAGCAGCACCCAGACTCACCCGGAAGCTTCCGGACCAGTAACTCTGGAGCTTTCCATCCAAAGACCACTTCTGTGGGCAAAAGACCTTGTGGGCTAGCCACCCTGTACCCGGCTGACCCAGGGTCCCCCAGTGGTCCTGACTCTGAGCCAGTCTGCTTCCTCGAGGGAAGAGCAGCTGAGGATGGGGTAGGGCTTCCGGGAGGGGGTTCTCTCCACGGCTCTCTTCTGTAGCTACCTCCCTCTGAATTCCTTGGCTGGGGGACCTCAGAAAGGCAAGCCGGAGAGGGACTCTACTCAGGGTACCCCAACACCTCAAGCTACCCTCCCACCTCTTCCCGTGTGTGTGTGTGTGTGTGTGTGTGTAATACCCTAAGGACTAGCCCATGTCACTCTAACATCTGAGACTAAGCCAGGGGGATAGCAGGGTCACTGAGAGAAAGAGTCATATGTGAAGCTGAGGGCTAGCTGGGACTAGAGTTCAAAGGTTACTTACTCTTCTGCCCCTGCCCATACACACGGTGACATAGAATCTGTTTTTCTAATACGTGCACACAGTGCCTAATGCACAGAGGGCCCTAGATGGGCCCAGTTTCCCCTCCCTGCATCCTTGCTTCCCCGTTGTGGGGTGCTGTAATACCCAGACCCCATCTCCTGCCCAGCCCAGGCGGCAGCATGCTGTGTGGAACCCACTGGGCTTTCGCCAGCATCAGCCTTTGGAGGGAGAGGTTCCGGCAGAGGAGGAAAGAGAGGAAGAGACGCCTCCTGGGGTTGAAGAAACAGCCCAGGTCCCTCCGAATTGAGTGGGCAGAGCAGGGGTCACCTCTGCCCCAGGCAGGTGGTGGCCGCTGCAACTTGTCCCCTGCTCTTGGGCAGCCCTTCCCCACGCACTGGCCTGGCAAAGCCCAGGCGGGAGCCTGGCAGCAGCCTCCTCCGCCCCTGGCTCCCCATCTGCCGCTCTGCCTTGGACTCCACCTTCTATTTCTGCTCTTGCTTTCCCTCCTCTCTTGCCTCAGCCTGCTCCTACGGGCTTGGTGTTCCTTCCTCTTCCTACTGCTCTCTCTCTCTCTCTCTGGACTTTGCCCCTCTCTTACATCTGCTCACAAGCCTTCAGCTCACTGGTATCCACCCTCCTCCTAAACCAGCAGCCACACCGGCCCTGAGCTAGGAAAGGGCCCACGTACTGCTCCTCCAGCCTCTTCCCTCACAGGCAGGAGGCCGGGACCCCCTTACTCAGCCCCAGAGGCCCTGAGCCTCGCAGGGTATGACAGAGAAGCCAGCCTGGAGCTTCTCCTCAAAAGAGAAGAGGGAAGACCTCGGAGGGTCTGTGTTGGCCATGTTTTTTTTTTTTTTAATGAGGCCAGCCAAAAACACAAAGTCAGAGAGGGAACTGGGGGAGCAGACAGCCCTCTGTAGGCCAGTTGATCTATGAAAGCAGTGTGTGTGTGCGTGCACGCATGTGGTGGGGGAAGTGGGAGTTTGAGCCAATCAGACTCCATAGTGAAGAGAAGCCTCATATTTAATAGGGAAACCACAGAGAAGAAAGAACCAAGAGCGGTGTTAGATGGAGAAAAGGGAGAGGGAATGGGCAAATCTGAGGGAAAAAGGGAAGTGAGAGGTCCCAGGCACTCGACCCTGGGCACAGTCCACTCCTCTGAGCCCTGCCCTGCTCCCTGACGTCCCAGGAGCCACCACGGCTCAGCAGGCTTCCAGCCCTGGCCCTGAGAGGAGGCCATTTTGGTGCCTGAGACCTTGTGGAGGGACCCGGAACCCTTTGTCTTCCTCCCCAGGGGTTAGCAGTAGATCAGGAGCCGGCCCCGGAGGCAGGTGGCCTCTGTAGGGCTGGCTGAGCGCAGAAGGACACGAGGGCCACGGCTGAGTGGTGACCTACCCGTTAGACACGGCTGGCATAGGTTTGCCTGTCCGGGAGTTGAGGCTGAAGGCTCCTATCCTGTGGAGACAGAGCAAGAGAGCCAGTCGTGAGCCCAGGACCCCAGTCTTCTTGGGCCAGAACATGTGATGTGTAGACCTGAAGCCAGGTTTCTGCCTTGGAAGTCATTAAAGCAGGAGCAAAATCCCAGACCACAGATCTCCCCAGATCTCAGGGTGAAGCCCTAGGTGTTCAGAGCGGGGACCCCAGACCAGCAGACCCAGCAAAATGTGCTTCAGGCCTACCCCAGTCCCATGGGTACGGAAACCCTGAGGTGCAGCCCAGCCTCTGCCCCAGGGGATCCTGACACCTGCTGCAGGTGGAAACTGTGTGGCATCACTGGGCCTCAGTGGCTTATCTGTGACTCCCCGTTTGCAGGCTGAAGGCCCAAACCCCAGCGCCCACATGACTACATCTGGAGACAGAACCTTTCCAGGGGGCTGCAGAGATGGCTCAGCAGTTAAGAGCAAGGAGTGTTCTTCCAGAACCAAGTTTGCTTCCCAGAACCCAGGGAAGGAGGCTCACAGCCAGCTCCGGTACTCTGGCGCCCCCTCTGGCCTCGGAGAGCACCTGCACTCACGTGCACCCCCCCCCCAGACACCTACACTTAGGTAAAAATAACTTTAAGAACAGAGTCGGTTAAGGAGATGAAGTCACGTGGGTGGGGTCTGCCTGCCCCAACACACACAGAACGGTGACTCCAGGAAGACAGGAGAAGAAACAACACATCCGTCCCAAACCAAGGAGAGCAGGCCCAGCAGAAGGAAACTCAGCCCAGCGCCCTGAATTTGGAATTCTGGCTTCCAGCAGTGTGAAAATGTTAATTTCTCTTACTTAAGCCACTCAGTATGGTATCCACATCCGCAGCCCTTGGAAGTTAGCACAGCTGGCAGGGTTTGTGGCACATGCCCAGAAACGAGCCTTTGGGAGACGGAGGCACAAGGCACTGTTTGAGGCTTTCCTGGGTTATAGACAAAGACCCCGGGTTGTGACTTTAAAACTGGGTGTGGCGGTGCCCAGTTGCAATCCTAGGACTCACAACGGATCTTGAGCATGTTCCCTGTTGTGAGACTGTGTCACCCTCAAACACAAGGGACCCAAATCAATGATGTCATTGTCCCTCAATGGGCACAAGCTGCTGCTTCCTGGACCCCTGTGTGACAACAGAGCCTCTGGATAGCAAGTCTCTTCGTTTCTTTGTTTCATTTTCTGAGACCGTTTCTCTGTGCACCCCTGGCTGTCCAGGGACTCTCTGTAGACCAGGCTGGCCTCGAACTCACAGATGCACCTGCCTCTGCCTCCCGGGTGCTGGGATTAAAGGCGTTTGCCACCAAGCCTGGCATCGCCTGTATTTACGAAATCCTTAGGTGAGTCAGAACACCTAACGCAGAGCAAATGCTCAGCACAGGCTTGCTGTGCTGTCTCCCGGGGAATAGTGCCTGGGGGACTGTCAGCACTTGTCCAGGAATATGCAACGTTTCTGACTAGGGAGCACACGCACACACAGCCCGCAGACACCGAGGGCTTCCTGCAAAGACTTCACTCGAGAAACACTGACCCTCACATCTGTCCCGGCACAGATGCCGGCGAACAGAACAGGCGCTGCTCACGGTGGACACTCCTGGGGGAAGGCCCTGCCTCTTCCTCCGCGTTCCCGCCCCCAACACTTCAGATCTCGCTGGTACAAGGGAGAACCAGGCCCGGGACTGGGTGGGTTTAGACCTAGGTGGGAGCTGGGAGGTGTAGATGCATCCCGGGACTTTCCTCCACCAGAGGGTGCAGGAAGGGCGTGAGAGAGGGCAATGGGGGGGGGGGGGGGGTGTGATCAAAATGCATTATTTGCACGTGTGAGATGGTCAAAGAATCAGTAAAAATAATTTTAAGGTGTGTAAATCTGAAAGAAAGGCCCCCTACACGCTGCTACTTAAAAAGAGCTAATTGTGACCTCTCCCCGGGGAAAATACCACTTTTCTCTCCTTGTAAAGTTTGTTTTTACTATTTTTAAGTGTGTGTGCTCGTGTGTTCGCGTGCATGTGGGTGTGTGTGCACACGAGGCTGGAGGTGTCGGGTCCCTTGGGACTGGAGTTGCAGCCGGCTGAGAGCCACCGGACGGGGGTGCCGGGATAAAGGCGACATTGCCACACCTCTGCAGTGAGGGCTCTTAGCCTGAGAGGCACCCTTCCGGGCTGCTCAACTGGAGAACAGTTTTGGGCCTCTTTGAATTAGTGAGTTCCAGGCCGGCCAGGGATGGATAGAAAGATCCTCTCTCAAAAACAAAAAAAAAAAAAACAAAACCAGAAACAAAAAAAAAAAAAAAAAAAAAAACACAGAACAAAGCAAAACACAGCCCCCACACACAGAACCTAAAACAAACAACAGCAACAGCAGAACCCCCGAAATTCTAAATTAAATCTTTGCTGTTTTCGTCAAAAACCCGAGTGAGCTAGCTGGGAAGTGACTTCATACACGGGAGCTGGGTTCCTGGTGATGCTGAGCTGCCCCCGGCAGCGCTGGTCCTGTGCACCCTCAGTCCGCTACACGCCGCCACCGCTGTTTATAAAGAGTCGGTTACAGACATGTTTGCTACGGTCTAGCAGATGTGAATTTGTTTCATTATGTGTGTGTATTCATATATGTGTGTGTTTGTGTGTGCCATGTGTGTCTGTGTGTGCATGCATATGTGTGCGTGTATAGGTTTGTGTGTGTGTGAGAGAGACAGAGACTGTGGAGGCTGGAGGCTGGTGTCAGCTCTTTCCCCCATTGCTTTCCACCTCACACAGGGACAGCGGCTCTCACAAGCCTGGATCTTGGCAATGCAGCGTCCAGCCAGCTCTGAGGCTTCCCAAGACGGGTCCCAAGCGGTCAGGTGTGTACTCGGGTGTCGGGGATAGACCGTTCGTTGGTGGGAGTGACAAGAGTGACAAGCGCTTTCCCTCGACCCATTCTCCAAGCTCCAGAGCTCCAACCTGAGTTCCTCCCAACTCAATGAAGGAATTATCATTTCTGGGGACCTGAGGTTAGGCTTTTGAGGGGGAAAGAGACCTTTCTTGGGGGTTCTGATGCTACCACACAGTTACTGAGCAGTTACAGGCCAGGGTCTAGGAGAGAGTTTCTAATCCCTGTACACACAGACACATACACTGACACACACACACACACACACACACACACACACACTACAGTTGTGCACCGCAGTATGTAACAGAAACTTGGCAGAAGCGAGGGAGGGGTTCATGCTGAGCGCACCTCAAGCCCTCTCTCTCCTGCATGTCCAGCCCTGTGACCCAGACACGGGTCCCAGCCTCAGCTTGTCATTGCCTGGGCCCTGTCCCTAGGGCTTCCTTGGGAATAATGCACACACAAATGTGCGTACATGAGCACGCATGCACACAAGCCACCCTCAGCAGCACAGTGGAGACCCCACATGCCTGAGGCCGAGGCCGCTCAGGGTAACAGCTCTCCCTAGGAGCCCCGTGCCTCGGGGGTGAGGGGTGAGAAGGCCCCACTAAGTCAAGGGATGAGCTGTGCAAATGAAGGCCAGGTTCAAATCCCACCTTTCCCACCTGCTGCCCCCCCCCCCCCCCTGTCCTCTGGTCTCTTCCTTACACAAGGAGAGAGAGGCAGGGTTGCAAACTGACGCTCTCTGAGGGAAGCCCAGGGCCTAGCCGGAATATGGCTAGTGCTCCGAAATAACAGGGTGGAAAGGTGGGACAGAGCAGGACGAGAAGAGAGCCCCTCTCTCTCTCTGGGAGCCCGGCCATCGGGTGCTCTGCCACAGCGGGCTTGAGGCAGGGTGGGCAGAACACACAAGGGCATCACAAGGGAGGGCACGAAGCAGGCCGCACCCATCCTGCACTTACGTGAGAGGCTTCTCCAGGCGGCTCCCGGAGGATCCTACAATCTCGCCAAGGGTGCAGAAGGCCTGGCCCAGGAAGTCCTGCATATCCAGGGCACAAGAGACCCGAGTCAGCCACCTCCTTCAGGGCCACCCACCTGCCCACTGACGTGACAGCGTGCAGCCTTGGGTACACACTCTCTGAGGGAAGCCCAGGGCCTAGCCGGAATATGGCATTTAAGAGACAGCCTGGCCGGGTTCAGTGGGGCACATGCCTTTAACCCCAGCAGAGGCAGGTGGAGCTGTGGGAGTTCAAGGGCAGCCTGGTCTACAAAGCGACTCCAGGACAGCCAGAGCTACACAGAGACACCCTGTTTTGAACCCCCCCCCAAAAAAAAAGACAGCCTGGGCTCACTGGGCGGTCGTGGGTGGGACTCACATGTTTAGATAAATCCGGGCTCTTGGAGTCAACGTCGTATCTACGAGGGACACAGAGAAATGGTAAAGGCAGGCAGGGGATACCCCACCTAGGCCTGTGTAGGACCCTGGGTGGGTAGAGTCGGGGTCCCCACACCTTAAAAAGTGGGCTTTGTCACTGTGAGCTTGGGGAGTCTTGGAGGCTCATCCTGTCCTGATCTTGTATTCTATCTCACTACCAGTGAACCCTGTACCCTGACTGGGTCACAGGTGGCCGGGTCACAGGTGGCCGGGTCATCCTACCCACCACTCCCAGCTGTCTGTCTTCTCAGCTTCAGTGTTGTCTGTCTGTCTGTCTCCTCACCCGGGGCCCTGCCTCCGCACTGAGCTGGTCACTCCCGAGAGAGGGAGGCACGGCTACTTCCTCCTGAGTGGGCAGCAGGCCGGCCGGCCCCTCTCGCTGCAGCCTGCTCTCCCGGGGTCCTGCCTGCAGCCCTTCCTCCAGCAACCTCCCCTGCGCTATGCTGCGCCTGCCGAGGCTGGGGGTCGCTGCTCACGGTGACTTCTCTGTCACATCATGGGCGGTGTTTGTTCAGAATGAGGCCTTTCTGGCCTTTCCAGGTTAGCTCCTGAGTTCCTGCACGCACGCACGCACGCACGCACACCATGGGGAGAGGCCAGCAGGTGCCTGGGAAGCCAGGGAGAACAAGGCGCAGTGGCAGACGCCTGCATTGGCTACGTAGATGCTCCCAGAGTCAGACGCCTCACCCAGAGTCTCCTTATGGAGACAAATGCTGGGTAAGGTCTGGCACCCCCTTCCCCACACCCTAGCGAGGCTAGGGTTACATCTCATCTGTCGATTTTATCTTCCTGGTCTCCCGGAACATCCCTGCCTCTCCACCTGTACCCAGTCAACCCCCGGTCCCAGTCCGGCCCCCCACCCCCACCCCAGTGTGTGTGCCACCTTCCACTCACAGGTCAAAACGGAGGTTCTGCTTCTCCTCAAAGAAGTAATCCACAATGAACTTGCGAACGAAGTCCGGGTTAAGCGTGTTATCAATGACCTCAGTGCGTCCAAACTGCAAAAGAGGGAGATGGTGGGAGCAGGGGCAGCCCCAGGCACTAGGCTCCAGGCTTTGGGTGCTGGCTGCCCCCCGCAGGCTTCTCCTCCGACTCCTCCCTCCTCCCTCTCCAGGCATGAGCTCCAGGCATGGGGTCATACCCGAATGCTCCTTTGTGTTCCCATCTTGCCCTTAGCCTATGCCGTGACCTCTGTCTACCCTCCCTTCATGGCCAGGCAGTTGCTTTGGTGAAACACCAAAGTGTAGTGTATAAGCAGAATAAGTGTATAAGCAGAATGTGTGTATATGAAGTGTATAAGCAGAATAAACCGTTTCCTCCCCCTGTTGTTTTAACAGGGGGAGGAAACGGTTTATTCTGCTTATACACTTCCACATCACAGTCCATTATTAAAGGAAGTCAATGTAGGAACTCAAACAGGGCAGGAACCTAAAGGCAGGAGCTGAGGCAGAGGCCATGGTGGGTTGCTGCTTACTGGCTTGTTGCTCCTGGCCTGGTCAGCCTGCTTTCTTTTCTTTTCCTTTCTTTTCTTTTCTTTTTCCTTCCTTCCTCTCTCTCTCCCCCTTCCTTCCTTCCTTCCTTCCTTCCTTCCTTCCTTCTTTCCTTTCCTCCCTCCCTTCCTTTCAATATCGATATCTATCTATCTATCTATCTATCTATCTATCTATCTATCTATCCATCCATCCATCTATTTATTGTATATGAGTACCCTATCTGCATGTACACCTAAATGCCAGAAGAGGGCATCAGATCCCAGTATAGATGGTTGTGAACCACCATGTGGTTTGCTGGGAATTGAACTCAGGACCTCCGGAAGAGCAGCCAGTGCTCTTAACCTCTGAGCCATCTCTCTAGCCCCAGCCTGCTTTCTTACAGAACCCAGGACCACCACCCACAATGGGCTGGGCCCTCTCACGTCAATCATCAATTAATAAAATGCCCTACAGCTTGCCAGCAGCCTTATCTCATGGATGCACTTTCTCGACTGAGGCACCTTCCTCTCTGATGACAGCCATGTCAAGCTGACGTAGAACTAGCCAGCACGCAGGTCCTCAAGTCCCGCTGCTGATGCTGCCTCCTCTAGGGAACCTCCTAGATATTCCACCCCAAAGGTTTCACTTCTCTGAGCCATCGCTGAACTTGCGGCAACCCTATGTAGCCACTGTGGTCTCTGACAGGCTCCACAACGAGAGGTGCCTGGATCACAGGTGTGTGCCTCGGGACCCAGTTTGACCACACACTTCCGAAAAGCGGAATATACACAAGTTACAAGATGCCCTTCAGAATACTGTGCTGTCGACCGTGGGGCGTCCATCTTGGGGTTTCCTTGGGGTTGGCCTGTCTTGTTTGCTCACTCCCCTAGAGCCAGCAGCTGCAAGAGATTTAGTGCCTTCCTGCTTTGGCCGTGCCAATCCCGGCTTCACAGCCCCCCGCCCGGGTCCTGCCTCTCCTGCAAACCTCATGCTTTCTCGTCTCCTGACACCTCCTCCACATGCACTAACTCCGGATGGGTGAGGCCATGGCTCCCCACCCTGACCCCTCGATCTTATCGCCGTGCATGGCCTGGAAACTACTCACGGAACTTCTCTCCCCTCTTCTGAGCCGTGAGCACACATGATGCCCAGGTCCACTTTGAACAACCTGTGCCCTAGGTCCTACGTAATGCCTTGCGGGGGCCTTCCCCATCTTAGAGAGGAGAAGACGGAAGCCCGGGGGAGCCACGTGAGCTTGTCTAGGACCGCAGCGTGGTAGACCGGGCGCACTCCATCAGCCTGCCTTTCAGCGACTCACGTCATGCCCTGCTGCCACCGTGCCAGGCACATTTCCAACATCCCAGGAGTCACGAACTTTCCCTGTGTGGCCCTTTAAAGGATCCTGGCCACCCCAGATCTCTCTCTCTCGGTGTGTCTTGTTTATTCTCTCTGGCTCCCAATCTTTCCATCTGTCTGTCTCTCTCTCATGTCCCTACTCTGAGACAGCCTTTCGCTCCCTGTCCCCCATTCCCCAAAAACCCTCCTGTGTGTCAGATCTTTTGCTTGGCATGATCTCTTGGCGGCACACCTCAGTCCCCAACCTGCCCAAGCACCTTGGCCGATATGCTAACACGTGCAGCCGAGACTTGCTGACCCGAAGGCACAAGCCAGGCTGGGTCATGTGGTGCCACACGTACTGTGGGGGAGATGAGACCTACACTAAGTCTGGCTCACGCAGACACTCCAGAGTGGAGGACGAGGAGCCGGATGACTCTCCGTCTTGTCACAAGATGACTGTGAGGTCCCTTTAAAGGATGGAGACTGAGCTGCCTCCCACCCGCACCCCACACCTTCCCAACCTTATTGGTGCCTGTTCTGTATCGCACACAGGTTGCTTGCTTCGGCAGAGCTGGGGCATCAGCCCAGGGCCTTGCCCATGCTAGGCAAGCGCTTGACCATGGAGCCAAGAGCCACGATGAAGCTCTATCCAGTTTCTGAGACCTTAGCATAGGCCAGGCTGGGTCCATGCTGAGCTACGATGAGCAGAATATGAACGCCATACCCGAAGACTTCTCCATCACGCTCAGAGTCACTCGCGAACAAACACCTATGACACAGCGCAGTCACAGCCACCAAGAGCCACGATGCCCTGGAGCATAGCTCGGCCTCCCGTGCCCGGGTGTGACGGGGCACACCTGGAATCCTAGCACCCAGGAGGTCGAAACAGGGGGCCAGAAGTTCAAGGCCATCTTTTAGCTACACAGTGAGCTTGCAGCCAGCCTGTGCCATTGTCCTCACAACCCGGCCCTTAAAAAAAAAAAAAGATGTGTGGATGTGGGTGGGGACGTGTTGGGTAGAGAGATGGCTCACTGGTTAAGGGCACTTTCTGCATGAGGTCAGATCCCAGCACCCACATAACAAGCCGGGCATCCCACACACCCCTGGAAGCCCAGATCCAACGTGAGGCGTCTGTGGGATGATCTGCGGCTTGCCGGTTCCTAGCCTCGCCAGGAAAACACAAGCCCTAAGGTGCAGGGAGGGATCCCGCCTCAAAGGAAAATGCGGAAGACTGACAGAGGAGGCCATTCACCACCCTCCTCCTGCATCAGCACAGGCACACATACACGCAGCACGCATACGCTCACGCATAAACAATCACCTGTGAAAAGAATAACATGTACTCAGGCACACACAGAGCTCCAGTGTAGGACCCAGCGTGGGTGCTAGCCAGCCTGCTCGGACAGGCCAGCTCGGCTTGCACAGGGCAAGATGGCCTCCGTCGTGGCTCCCGTCATCGGCCCACACACTTGTTTTAGAATCACTAGCTGGTGTGCCTAGCTGGGGGCTGCTTTCTCTGTCTCAGTGGGGTGTGGCAAACTAAACGGATTTTTGTCCCATGCTCATTTCACGTTTGTGTGAGAATTAAATAATAATAATAATAATACTACATGCTTTAACAGGTGCTAAAGAAACAACAACAAAAACACCCACACTCAGCCCCGCCATGGGCCAATTAAAGTCAGATCAAAGTGCGTGGGGCCCAAACAACCATGCACCAGTCAGGGAGGGTCCCCAGACTCTGCTCAGGAGCGGGTAGGGTTGCCAGCGGCTGATGAGGGAGGCCAGCGGGAGGCAGGGAGAAAACTAACATTTACCGAGCCTCTGCTGAACGGTCCATAGATCAGGCGGGTCATTAAGCTCTCTCATGCCATCCTCGTGAAGACTCCCAGGGTTACTGCCCGGCTCATGAGCTCGGAGACAAATCAGCAAGGTTAAGGAACCTACCCTCGGCCACACAGCGAGGAACTCGTGCTGTTTGTTTTTTTTTTGTGAACTCGTGCTGTTTTTTTGTACACTTGACTGGAGGGAGACATCTGAACCGATGGAAATCAGGATGCTTTATTTTCCCAAGCAGCATGGACAGTCCCGCTGGGGGCGAGCAGTGGGGCCCCTGGTCCCTCGGGTCAAATTCCATAACAACCTCGCCAACATGGCGCCCGCCGCAAAGGACTTCCCGCCTGCCCCCGCCCCTTCTAAGTGAACCTCCCGTCTTCAGACAAGAGGAAAATTTCTCCTAATGGCTTCCTCGGGGGAAGTCCTGCAGGTAAACACTTGTCTTAGAGAAGTCTCTGGAAAGATCAGACTTCCTGCTGCTCTCCTTCAACGCTTGTAGCCCGGAGCATCCCCACCCAGGGCTGGCAGACGCCCCCAGCCAGGGCTGGCAGCCCCGGCCCACACTCCCCGGAAAACCCTCACCAGGGAGGATGATAGCAGCCGCTTTGGAAGTGGCACTGGAAGGTTCCACGGGGAGTGGGGGGCGGGAATTCCCTGGAGACTGCTCACTGCTGGAGCAGGGGATGGGGTTCCCCTGGAAACGGGATAGGAGGGGGCTCCGGAGGCCCCTGGAAACGTGGAGGGGCTTGAAGGATTCCTGGGACTCGGCCGTAATTAACATATGCACACCGCAACTGTGAAAGCAGCAGCCCAGGGGCCTGCCTTGGAAGCTTTACGGGTTTTCATTAGTTGGACTAATAACAGCGAGGGGTGTGCATGCTGAAATTCAGATTTAAAAAAGTGTCTCAGAGGCCACCGGCTCCCTGCCAGGCTCAATGTATACGGTCTGCTAATGAAGGCAGGAACACAACTGAACTGATGGTGCTGAGGGTGTGTGTGTGTGTGTGTGTCTCCATATTTCACGAAGAACTGCAGAGCTCTGGCAGAATGGCCTTGGGAAGGTGAAGTATGAGTGTCAGAGCCTGTGTCCTAACTGCTGTGTGCACCCCATCTTGGTAGGGCAGGGGAGGAGGCCAGGCCCCTCACCGTCCTGAGCCTGGACACTTTCTCAGAACCACCTGTCCATCCCTCTAGTCCATTCTGAGCCGGCGCCTGGTCCGAGCTCTGGGCGAGACCAGGGGGAAAGGGTCTGTGTCGCAGGAGTGACACGACCCATAAGCAGCCCCCAGGCAAGCACAGGACTCCGAGTGACTCAGGCAGTGTGCAGCCAGGGACTCAGCACAGGATGCAGA